AAAACATTGCTCAGTCCTACACCATTTTCACAATTATTTTTACATTTGAGCTCATTGTTGCTACTACTGTGTCAATCCATCTCACTGACCATCCACTTTTCCAAGATGATGTCCTTCTCCAGAACTGGTCCGTCCTGGCTACACGAAAGTATGAGAGACAAAGTTTCACCATCCTTGTTTCTAAGGAGCATTCTGGATGTACTTCTTCTATTAGGGAAATGTAAATCAAAACCACCATGAGATGCCACTGCACACCTCCTAGTTTGGCTGTAATAAAAAGGTAATAACAAGTGTTGGTGAAGATAGGAGAAAGAAGCCAATGTACACTGCTAGACAGAATGTAGAACAGTACACTTGCTTTGAAAAACTATCTGGCAGTTGCTCAAAACATTAAACATCATATGATGTAGCAGCTCCACTCCTAGGTATATGCCTGAGAGAGATGAAAACATATGCTCACATAAAAACACAGACAAACGTTGATAGCAGCATTATTCAGAGCAGCCAAAATGTGGAGACAAAGCAAATGTTCATCAATAAATACAGTGTGGAATATTACTTGGCAATAAAAAGGAATAAAGTTCTGACATATGTGATAACATGGACAAACCTTGAAAACATTATGCTAAGTGAAAGAAGCCAGTCACAAAAGACCAGATTGAATAATTTCATAGACACAGACAGTAGACTAAAGACTGCCTTGGGCTGGGGGTAGAACAGAGGTAGAGAGGTGAGAAAGCAATGGGAAATGGCTATTAGTGGGCACAGGGTTGTTGTCGTTGATGACAATGTTGTAAAATTTATTGTGGTGATAGTTGCGTAACTGTGAATATACTAGAAATCACTGAATTGTATACTTTACATAGGTGAATTGTATGATAAGGGAATTATGTCACAATAAAGCTGCTATTAAAAGGCAAAGCTATAAGCCCATAAAAGGAAATAGGCAGTAGAGGAGAGACAATAGAGGACAAAAGATTACAAAAACATATATGTAAGATGGAAAACAAACAGATTAATGGTTACTGAATTAGCAAAACAGAAGAAGCTGAAAACCAAGTGCTGATGGATTAATGAGAGTCAAAGTTTAGCTTTGAATAATAAAAATAAATAAATAAATAATAGCTTTGGTGGTAGTGGTGAATCTGTTCTGACTCGCAGTGATCCTGTATAGGGTTTCTGAGACTGTAAATCTTTGCAGGAGCAGAAAGCCTTACCTTTCTCCTGAGGAGTGGCTGGTGGATTCGACCTGCTGACCTTGCAGTTAGCAGTCCAATGCATAACCACTATGCTACCTTAAATAACAACTTTTAATTAGATATAATTCACTGAGAAGTGAAGGAACCGAGATTTTCAAAAGATAAGAAAGAGTGAGACATAAGGAAGAGAACAGGGCATAGTTAGGAAACTGTCTTTTTCTTGTTCTGGAACAAGATGATTTCTTTTCTGAAGAATCTAACCAAGCACAGCTGAAGAAGGGGTACACCAAAATACTCCAAACAGGGAATAAGTGAAAGTCTACATATGAGTCCTGAGATGTTGATTTCCTAATCCCTGCCTAGATCCCAGAAAGCTGGCAGTCAGCCGTATGCTTCTCAGCAGCAGGAGAGACTGTTCTCCAAAAGAATCTTTAGGACCTACACATAATTCAACTAGGTGGCTGAATCCCAGGCATAGTCAACTTATTCCCACACATAGCTTCTTATCAAGTTGCTTTAGTGTGAAAGGTCAGTTGAGGAATGCCACTAACTTTAAAGACAAGAGAACAAAACAAAAGGAAAAACTTGGAGATATTAGAGATAGAACATGAGGGAGAAAAAACTTTAAAAAAGTAAATATCTTCAAGGTGGCAAAGATTATACTCTCTCCATAAAACAAGAGCTACATGTTATTAAAAATATGAAAGGACTCTTGAAAATTAAACAGGTGGAGGACAAAGTTGAGGAAATATCCCAGAAAGAAAATAGAAAGATGAGTCCATTGAAATAGGGGAAAGAAAATTGGCAGGTAAATCCAGGAAAATCAACCTTCAAGTAATATGAATTCCAGAAAGATGCAATAGAGAAAACAAATTATCAAAGACATAATACAAGAAATTATGACATAAGACTCTTGATTGAAATAGTCCATAAAGAGCCCAGCAAAATGCACGCCCAAAGCATCCCACTGTGAAGTTTTAGTACAATGAGGGGGAAAAAAGAAGATTCTGAAAGTTTCTAGCTAGAAAAGGCCCTTATAAATTTCAAGAATCAGAATGGTGTTGGGCTTTTCAGCTGTTCCATTAGAAGTTAAAAGAACTGATGAAATCTTCAAACTCATGAATAAATGATTTCCAGTCAAGAATTCTTTTCTTAGCAAATTCTTAATCAAATGTGAGGGCAGAATAAGGACATTTTCAGGCCAAAAAAGAAAATTATCTCCCCTGTAGCATGTCTCAGATTGCACTCCACAGAAATGAGGGCATAAACCATGGAAAAGGAAGACTCAGGATCCTGAAAACATGATCCAGCCTAGAAATTTCCAGGGTAAATACCAAGGGGACATCCCAAGACAACTAGTTTAGTTTGGAGCAGAAGGATGGAGACTTTAGGCAAAATGTTGCCAGAAAAAGATTTCCTGATGAGTTTGGTCAAGTGAAAAACTAACATCAAGAGAAATTGTATACTTCTATTGGAGAGCTAGTTTAGCTATGAATAATATCCATATAGTCATAATAATGTAACTAAATATTGATTTAACTAAAAGTTGTCACATACCATATTGGGAAAATGAAAGGACAGGAAAGGAGGCAAAAGAAAGAAGAGGAGATCTAAGAGTGATAAATCTTCCATATTAAATAAATAGGGTAATATCTAAAATTGATGTTATTTATAAATATAACAGAAGAAATAGCTATAAAGTTGTTTTTGAGAAATGGGACTCAGGTATGGGATGTTGTTGTTGTTGTGATGTGCCGTGGAGTCGGTTCTGACTCATAGCGACCCTGTACAGGGTTTCCGAGGCTGTAAATCTTTACGGGAGCAGAAAGCCTCATCTTTCTCCC